AAATATGGAACCAGCCCAAATACCTATCAATCAATGAGTGAATAAGGAAACCGTGGCATATATGATGGAATACTACTCAGCCATAAAAATGAATGAACTAATGGCATTTGCAGCCACTTGGATGGGATTGGAGACTGTTATTTTAAGTAAAGTAACTCAGGAATGGAAAACCAAACATTGTATGTTCTCACTAGTAAGTGGGAACTAAGCTATGAGGATTCAAAGGCATGGGAATGATACAATGGACTTTGGGGACTCAGAGGGAAAGGGTGGGAAGAGGATGAGGGATAAAACACTACAAATTGGGTACAGTGTATACTGCTTGGGTGATGGATGCACCAAAATCTCACAATTCACCACTAAAGAACTTACTCATGTAACCAAACACCACTTGTTCCCAAAAAACTTATGGAAATATTTTTTTACAATAAGAAGTCAGAGAGATTCAAAGCATGAGGGGGATTTGTCCTGCTGCTGCAGGAGCGAGCCACATGGGAAGCATGAGAAAGAATGCAGGCTGCCTCTACGAGCAAAGACCAGCCCCCAGCAGGAAAGAGGCACCCCAGTCCAACAACCATAAAGAACTGAATTCAGCCAAGAACTTAATTCACCCTCAGAGCTGGCCCAGCCAACAGATTGATTTTATCCTTGTGAGACTGTAACAGAGGACACAGCTGAGCCATGTGCTATGCATGGACTTCTGACCTCCAGAACTGTGACATAACAAACGGGTGCCATCTTAAGCTGGCGTTGGTGCCACCACACTACAAGAGACTAGCAGGGCTTGGTCTAAAAATATCTCCTCCACTGACATACCACATGGGTTGATATTCCTGCTGTCAGAGGCACACCTTGAAATTAAGGTGTTTTCCTACGAAAAAGTCTTGTTGTTAAGTTCAGACACTGTCTGAGATGAGGTAATGCATTAGCAGCCTATCCGTAATTACCATGCAACCAGAGGAGTTTCCCACCCTGAAATACAGAAGAGCCATGTTTCGGTGCAGAGTCCAGAAGTTCCAAACAGAGGAGGATCCTGCACTGAAAGGGAAGCTCTAGTAAGGAGACAGAAGTGGCAAGGCCTTGAGTAGCATACAAGGGTTAAGGGCTCACTGGCAACAGGAAGGAGAGTGGTCTCCATTATAATTTCATATGGAGCAGCCATAGTCTCACAGTCTCTTGCCTTACTGCCTTTACTTCTGATGTTCCTTGTGCCAAGAATGCCTTTCTTTCAGCTCTTCTTGGGGGTGGCTTCTTCTCATCACGCAGGGTCAGCTCATCAGAAAGGCCTTCCATGACCACCTGGCTAAAGTGATATCCTTCTCCATGACCCTGTCACTCTCTGCGATGGTCTTTGAATTTTCAGGTATTTATAATTCCTGCCCCAAATTTGGCTATAAGCTTCAAGAATACTGGGACCTGGCTTGTTTACTGAAGCATCTCTAGAGCCGCAACAATGGCTAAAACACCACGGACAGTCAGCAAATATTTGCTGAGCAGATGAAAGACTACACGACAAGGTAATGTTTGACAAATGCAATCAAAAACATAAAGCATGAAATTCTATTAGGGTGTAGAGAAGGATGGAAAGGGATTCATTGAAAAGATCAAGGATGCTTGCATGGGAGGCAGAGTGTTTGACCCAGATGGGATTTGTTCCAGGGGAGGGGGAGCTAACACAAGCAAAGGCAAGGTCATGGGACAGTGCAGGGGGTACCCAGGCAGGGGGTGTCAATCCAGTTTGGCCAGAATGAGGATTGCATAGACAGGGTGAATATACTGTGAAGCTCATAAAGCTGAAGGGTTTATCACAGGCTTAGGTACTGCCAAACAAGGGTCTCACGTGGTCAATGTTTCTGTAACATTTGCAAGAATAGGATAGTTCAACCGCAGTCAGTTAAGACTGATCAATATCAGTCCTTTCATCTGACTTCCCTTCCATTTCTCCCATCTTACTCCCTCTGTGTTGAGCAGCATTGGAATTTCTGTAAGCCTTTTTTGGATCTATAACAGCTGAGGGAATTTGAGTTGGGGATACATTTGGTTTGGGTTCAGTGGGATCTATTTATGCAGTTCACAGTCACTTCCTTATAGAGTTAAGTAACTGCTAGCTGGCTTAATGTAGAAATGGTTTCCAGAAATATGCTTACTACTCAGTGGGCCAACGCACCTGGAATTAGGATGTGAAGCCTGCACTGCAGCTTGAATATTTCCAAGTATGTGGGTCATGGAGGAGAAACAAGGTTTGAGATGTACAGAGCCAGAAGTTAATCTGTAGAAAATTATTACCAAAAAATTTGTATATAAAAAAAAAACTTGATAGAGATTGTGATGGTTAATTTTACGTGTCAACGTGACTGGGCTTCACAGCAAGAGAAGTGCAGGAATGGGCCCATGCTCATGGAATTCAGTGGTCTTACCATCTTCCTTATCCTGATGAAGCAGCTGGCTTCATAGAATACTGGAACAGCCCTTTGAAGACTCAATTACAGCACCAGCTAAGTAGTAATACCTTGCAGGGCTGGGGCAAGTTTCTCCAAAAGGACGAATATGCTCTGAATTTATATCCAATATATGGTGCTATTTCTCTGCTAGCCAGGATTCAGGGATCCAGGAATCATTGGGGTGGAAATGGGAGTGGAACCCTCACCATCACCCCTAGCGACCCACTAGCAAAATGTTTGCTTCCTGTTCTTGAGACTTTATGCTTTGCTGGCCTAGAGGTCTTAGTTCCAGAGGGAAGAATGCTAGCATCAGAAGACAAAACAATGATTTCATTGAGCTGGAAGTTAAGACTGCTACACTGCCACTTGGGGCTTTTCATGCTTTTGAGTCAACAGGCTAAGAGAGGAAAAGGAAGGAATAGCCAATGATTAGTAATTGTGTAGAGCCAGGATCAAAAACTCAAATGCCCGCAGGGGCCAGGCAATAAAGCAAGTAAATGAAGGTGTTTGCAACGTTAAACTGATGGGCATAGTTTTTACTTAAATAAATGTATGATTTCTTTAAAAAAAATACATGGCTTCTTTGGTTTAGCTTTCATTTTCATGGGTACAAGAACGATTTCTTGGCCTTAAGGGATATGATGACTTTGAAAGCACAATGATCCAGGACTATGGATTCTCCGTGTTAGTGCTGGGGACTGGTGGGGACTGTGGTGAACCAGAGAATTATCCAGCGCCAGCTCATGATGCCAGGTGCAAATGGCCTGGTTTTATCAGACCTGATGTCCCAAGAGAAGCCAAACAGCCCAATTTTCATGTGAACTCCTAATTTCTAAACATTGTCAATGCCTTTATTTATTTACTTTAAGAATAATATGTAGCCCAGAAGATATATCTATGAGCCAGATACAGAACCATGTTGGATATAGAATTAATGAGCTCAGTGAAAATAATCAATGAAACTAAAATCATAAAGAGGTTGGTGATGAACATGTGTGTATTTAATATATGCCAAGTACTATTCTAAATGCCTTGCCTAAATAAACTCATGTAGGTTTCACTGCAACCCTATAAAGTTAGATATTATTTCCTTTTTCTAATTGGGGAAACTGAGGCTCAGAGAGGCCCAAGTTCATGTAGCTATAAGAGGTGGAGCCAGGATTTACAACAAGCAGTGCAGTTCCAGAGCTTGGATTCTTCCAGAAAAGCCCTCTGGATTCCACACTCAGGAACAGGGGTTATTATCCTAGGGACTGAGGGTGGGTTTCAGGAGGCACATGGAATCCTGAAATTCCATACATGTTTTTATGTGAATACAAGAGTGTGTTTTTCTTGGAAAGGAAGCTTTCATAAAGTTCTCAAAGTGAGGCCAAGTGCAGTGACTCATGCCTGTAATCCCAGCACTTTAGGAGGTCGAGGCAGGAGGACTCCTTGGAGCCTGGAGTTCAAGACCAACCTGGGCAACACAGCAAGAACCCATTTCTACAAAAAAGTTTTTAAAAAATTAGCCAGACATGGTGGCACATGCCTGTTGTCCCAGCTATTTAGGAGGCTGAGAAAGGAGGATCGCTTGAGCCCGGGAGTTTGAAGAGGTTGCGGTGAGCTGTGATCACTCAGGGCACTCTAGCTTGGGAGAAAGAGAGAGACCCTGTCTCAAAAAAAAAAAAAAAAAAATATATATATATATATATATACACACACACACACACACACACACACACATATATAGGTACTGTAGTCAATTCTCTTATGGTTGCAAGGGACACAAAACTCATGCCTTAGAGGTTTCACACAAACAAACACAATTTACATTTCATATAATCAAAAAGCTCAACAATTCAGACACAACTGGATTCCAGGGCTCAAGGAATAAAATCACAGCTCTGTCTCCATCCATCTCTTGTTCCAGTTTTTGCTGCAGGCCATTCTCCAATTCTTTCTGCTGTTAAGAAGACTGCAGCAATTTGGGCCCACTATCAAGCTAGGTTCTATTTGAAAGGAATATGATTACATCTCAGAAATGCTTGTAAAAGTCTTCTTGCATCTCACTAGCCCAAACTAAATGACATACTCAGAGTTAAACCAATTGCTTATGATCAAGGGAATGTAATGATCTAATTGGCCAATTCTGAATCACATGTTCACATCTGGAGCCAATCAATACCATCCCAACCACCACATGGCTGGGAATAGGTCAGAGAGTCTTTTTGTTTGTTTGTTTTGAGGCAGAGTTTCACTCTTGTTGCCCAGGCTGGAGTGCAGTGGTGAGATCTCAGCTCACTGCAACCTCCACCTCCTGGGTTCAAGCAATTCTCCTGCCTCAGCCTCCTGACGACCTGGGATTATGGGCATGCGCCGCCAGGCTTGGCTAATTTTTGTATTTTTAGTAGAGACAGGGTTTCTCCATGTTGGTCAGGCTGGTCTCGAACTCCTGACCTCAGGTGATCCACCCACCTCAGCCTCCCAAAGTGTTGGGATTACAGGTGTAAGCCACGGCGCCTGGCCTAGGTCAGAGTCCTTTAAGGGAAGTATGACAGGACCACAGATATCCATCATAGATAGTTACTGATGGAGGGTTATCTACTATGCCTTGGAGAATTGAGTGGGACCCACCTAAAAAAAAAAAATCATGTTTAAAACCACTGCAAAAGTTGCAAGTTCCATGTCATTTTTTTTTTTTTTTCTGTGACTGGGAGGAGCCTTATTCCAGGATCTTCTAGGAGTTATTGGTCAGATGGTGACTTGACTGCTGCTCCCTAAATAGAGCTTTCACATCCGAGATGACTCTTCTAACTTTCTGCAGAGCTCCCACATCTGTTCCTTCATTTGATCTAAATTTAACAGCATTCCTATGAGTCAGAGAAGTGAAGTAACTTGCTTACAGTCACACAGCCAAGCCAAACTTCCTGCCTCCCAGCTTACAAACAGAGGAGTGGGTCCACCCATCTTGATCCTGGGGTACTGACAAGAAATATTCTGGAGAAGTTAGATAGGGTAGAGGCAGAAGTAGAGGGAATTAAACATGAAGGATTGGGAAGGCAAAAGATGAACCAGCCAGCTGTAGTCTCTGGATGCATAAATGGAGAAGACCCGGAGAGGAAAACAGACGTTCTCTGTGTTTACCTGTAAGCACAGGTAAGTACAGAACCTTCTGGGAGAGCCCACTGATTTTGGTGGCAACAGCCTTCGTCAAGTGAAGATGGGAGGGAGTGAGCCTGCATCTTTAAGGATCACACAATCTCATTTTAATTATTAACTCACTGCATTATTAACGGACCAGCTGTGTGCGGCAGAAAACCAAGGGTCAGAACTCCAGGCCAACGATCCATTCCTGGTGCCACCTCCAGCCCAGTGGTCTCGAACGCTTCTCAGGACCCTTTCAGAACTTGACGAATGACAGCGAGACTTCCTTCCAGAAAAGTGCACGATTTGTCTGCAGTTTCAGGATTTGGCTAGGAATACGGTTGCAGGTATTTCCTGCTAGTGTCTTGAGGGGCTTTCCACATCCGGTCTCATGTAGTCCCAGGTCCCTTATATTTCTTGGTCCCTTTCTGAGTAATGATAACTCCTAAAGGTGGATGCAGGGAGAGGAGGAAGGGGAAGAGATGAGGAGGTAGGACTTAGCAGCACAGGCCTGAGTTATTTGGGGAAGAGAGGAAAATAAAATTCTGTTTGCTGAATTGCCTTTCACAAGGCACTGGTCAAACAGACCTCTAAGTGGACAGTCACATGGACGAATGTGCATGCATGTGTGCATTCGTTTCCAAACTTTAGCCATGCAAAAACCACCTCCAAGCCTTTTGTTTCATTTCACTTGCATTGTGACTGTTTCCCTTTAAAGCAATACACTTGAATTTCTTTCCAAGGGAAACTTTATATTACTACCAGACCTGTAGAGCTTCAAATGTTATTTGAAAGGGATTAAACACTCCGAAAACCAAACAATAGTATTAAATCCTAGCTAGCCTCCATAACTGTCCTTCACTCTGAGCCCCAAGATGTACTTTCTATTTAAACAAAAAAGGAGGCAGGGTGTGGGGAGTGTGGAGGTGTTGGGGGATGAGAATAGCAAGGAAAAGAGATGTTAGACACTGAACTGAGACTTTATTTTGTATTTTTTTTGAGATGGAGTCTTGCCCTGTCACCCAGGCTGGAGTGCAGTGGCACGATCTCGGCTCACTGCAACCTCCGCCTTCCAGGTTCAAGCAATTCTCCTGCCTCAGCCTCCTGAGTAGCTGGGATTACAGGCGCCCACCACCAAGCCCAGCTAATTTTTTTTTTTTCTATTTTAGTAGAGACAGGGTTTCACCATGTTGGCCAGGCTGGTCTCGAACTCCTAACCTCAGGTGATCCACCTGCCTTGGCCTCCCAAAGTGTTGGGATTACAGGCGTGAGCCACTGTGCCTGGCTTTTTTTTTTTTTTTTCTTTTTGAGACAGAGTCTCACCATGTTGCCCATGTTGGAGCGCAGTGGTGCGATCACGGCTCACTGTAGCCTCCACCTCCCGGGTTCAAGCAATTCTCCTGCCTCAGCCTCCCAGGTAGCTGGGACTGTAGGCGTGTGCCACCATGCCCAGCTTATTATTATTATTATTTTTAATTTGTAGAGACAAGGTCTCACTATGTTGCCCGGGTTGGTTTCAAACTCCTGGCCTCAAGTGATCCTTCCGTCCCAGCCTCCCCAAAGTGCTGGGATTACAGGTGTGAGCCACCTCGCCCAGCACTGAGACTTTTGCTATTATCAGGACTGAAATGATTGCAAGAAGATTGTCACTTTCTCACCAAATGCTTCACTCTTACTTCATTCTCCACGCAATTGGGAAACACCATGATTTATTTAACAAATATTTATTCAGTTGCCTACTAAGCGTTCTTGGCCCTAGGGGAGAGGAGGGGAGGGCATGGGGAATAGACATGGGTCCTGCCCTTGTGGAGGGAATATTTTCACGGTGGAGACAGACAAACAACTAAGCGAAAAATAAAATAATTTCAAACGGGGTTGAGTACTATTTTAAAAACTAACAAGAGTTTACAATAGTGAGTTGTTGAGGCATGGGAGGTGCGAGGGTGGACTTCACATGCTGGAGGGAGGAGCAGGAGGTAATTTGGTCCTCCAGTGAGTGAGACCGGCGTTTCCAATAGAAAAGTCATGTTCAGGGTCGGATTCTTAAGCAGTGGGAAAGTGGTTAGCAGCTGTAACTCGATATCCCAGGCATAATCTGAAGGACACTACCGAGACCTGCCCTTTGCCCCTGATTCAATCAGAAAGCAAAGCAGATGTTGTATTAATAGTTTTCCAGTCCAATGGCCAAGAGAAAACAAAATATGTCATACATGCGGTTGTATTTAAAGGCAAGATTACAACACATGTTCAACAAACGTTCGCTGTTGCTGGAGCAAGGGATTCCATTCGTAATTGCAGCTGAGTTAATCTAATTAACCGCAAATGAAGACGCCTCTTTTCTTTTTCTTTTTTTTTTTTTTTGAGACGGAGTCTCGCTCTGTCGCCCAGGCTGGAGTGCAGTGGCGCGATCTCGGCTCACTGCAAGCTCCGCCTCCCGGGTTCACGCCATTCTCCTGCCTCAGCCTCCCGAGTAGCTGGGACTACAGGCGCCCACAACCGCGCCCGGCTAATTTTTTGTATTTTTAATAGAGACGGGGTTTCACCGTGGTCTCGATCTCCTGACCTTGTGATCCGCCCGCCTCGGCCTCCCAAAGCGCTGGGATTACAGGCGTGAGCCACCGCGCCCGGCCGACGCCTCTTTTCAAGCGCAGCCAAAACCGTCAGGGTACACAGTATTTACAATGTTTCCCCTCTTCTTTCCTTGCAAGGCCGCAACCTGCCATGCTGTTCTTAAGTGCCCAAGTGCCGGTGACAAGAGGGTTTCCCTTTGCCATCTGGACCTGATTGCCTTAGAGGTAAAGGTTCAATACCCTTAAGAAGTTAGATTCTAAAAAATTATAAATTGGTACCACTGCTTTTGATTGCAATTGATTAATTTCCAGATGGAGATTGCACAATCCGTGAAGACACACAACGCTCTCCGAAGTCACTGCTCCATGCTGTGCCCCTCATCCCTGCCTGGGAGCTCGGTATCTCTACCCCCCACCTTACTAACCAGCACCTCTGCCTTCACTCAGAGCGCTCAGGACATGGGTGTAAGCCACTCAGAAACAGTTCTTGAATCTCAGGTTCAATACTGGCCTCCTAAATCCTAGCGACTCCCAGAGGAGTGAGAGGTGGGAGGTGGCAAGGATGAAAGGCTGATTTTAGCTCTGCATTTGGGGCCTCTTGAATCATCTTTGTTTGATGGGAAACTGGGAAGACTGGGGGAGGATAACGGATTAAGCTCATTCCATTGAAAAGAGCTCACTCAGATATCAGGAAAAAGCCAGATGATAATACTAGATTTACAAACCACAGGCAGTTTGCCTTCTCATCCCCTACAGGCTGAAAGTTCCAGGGTCATGACATTTTAGGCTCCTTGAGGCAGAGGGATTAGAGTATAGGCTTATGGACCCAGGCAGCCCTGGGTTCAAATCCCAGCTGTACCATTTACTGCGTGTTAAACGCTCATACATTGCTTAACCCCTTGAGCTTCAGTTTTCTTATCTGGGAAACAGGTATGACACCAGCTGCTTCTCAGAGTTGTCCTGAGGATGGGAGATGATGCCTATAAAAATGTCAAGGTCAGCCGGGCACGGTGGCTCATGCCTGTAATCCCAGCACTTTGGGAGGCCGAGGTGGGCAGATCATGAGGTCAGGAGATCAAGACCATCCTGGCTAACACAGTGAAACTCCATCTCTACTAAAAATACAAAAAAATTAGCCGGACATGGTGGCACATGCCTGTAGTCCCAGTTACTCTGGAAGCTGAGGCAGGAGAATTGCTTGAACCCAGGAGGCAGAGGTTGCAGTGAGCTGAGATTGCACGACTGCACTCCAGCCTGGATGACAGAGGGAGACTCCGTCTCAAAAAAAATGTCAAGGTTGTTGCCTGCCCTATAGTCGGCACCTGCGTTCAGCAAATAATAAGTTCTCACTGCCACCCTCACCTTCTCCAGATTTTCACTTTTCCCTCCTACTTTCCTCTGGAGGCTGCCTGCACTCTAAGCCATCTCTATGATGTCATCTAACCCAGATCTTTCCAATTCTTCCTAAGACCAGACGTTTTTCAGAGGCAATGCTGGGTGACAGCCATCAGTCCAAGCTGTAGCCAAGGAAAGTGCTCTATCCCTGTCCAAGGGTAATTCCCAAGTGGGTTCCCTGTAACAGTAACGAATGCCCATGAGCATTCCTTGCAAGAATTATTATTATTATTTTTGAGACGGAGTCTCACTCTGTTGCTTAGACTGGAATCCAGTGGCACGATCTTGGCTCACTGCAACCTCCACCTTCTGGGTTCAAGCGATTCTTCTGCCTCAGCCCCCCGAGTAGTTGGGATTACAGGCGCCTACCACCACGCCCAGCTAATTTTTGTATTTTTAGTAGAGACAGGGTTTCACCATGTTGGCCAGGCTGACCTCAAGTGATCCGCCCGCCTCAGCCTCCCAAAGTGCTGGGATTATAGGCGTGAGCCACCATACCCAGCAATAATAATTTTATTTTAAAAGGAATTCTGTGGTCATATTAATTTAGGAAATACTTAGAGATTCACAGTGCACATTAGCATATTAAGGGTTCTGAGAAATCCTTTTAGCAAATAAACCCATTTAGCTTTGTTTATGCTAACTTTCCCATTTGATCTGACCTGGTCACATCCTGTTATCCCTCCTCTTTTCTCGGAGTGCTTTCCTTTAACTCCTCTCAATTCATCCTCCCAAAACCCTCTCACCCAGTTTCACAGATGTGGAAATGGGGTTCAGAGAGGTGAAGTGACTTTCCCGTGATGACTCAGCTGGGTAGCACCAGAACCAGCTGCTTTCTTCCGGAGTGCAAGGCTCTTTTCTCTACATCTGGAAGAAACAGCCGAATACATCCCTTTCTGGTTAAACAACCATAGAATCTATCAATCATTGCCTGGGCTCCTGGGATGACATCGCCCAACAATTTCATTTTCTCAACAATGGGAAAACCAGAAAAGGGAAGTGAGTTTTCCAAAAGTGACAGAAACAGGGGTGGCAGAGCCAGAACTGGGACCCAGGCCAGGCCATCTTCACCCTATGCCTGGGGCCTACCTGTCTGGCTCAAACCCCTCAGTCATCTTCATTACAGTTTTCTTCCTTCCAATACTAGAATATTTTGTCCAATAGATCTTTCTGTGATAACAGAAATGTTCTATAGCTGTGCTATCCAATACGGCAACCACTAACTACATGTGGCTATTGGTCTCTTGAGATGTATCTAGTGCAAATAGGAAGTAAATGTTTAATGCTATTTAATTTTACTTAATTTACACTTGAATGGCCACACGTGGCTAATGCCTACCATATTGGACAAGGCAACTCTAGAGGTCAGAAATCAAGGCCAGGCACAGTGACTCATGCCTATAATCCCAGCATTTTGGGAGGCTGAGGCAGGAGGATTGCCTGAGCCCAGGAGTTCAAGACAAGCCTAGGCAACATAGGGAGACCTCATCTGTATAAAAATAGCCGGGCATGGTGGCACGCACCTGTAATCCCAGCACTGTGGGAGGCTAAGGTGGGAGGATGAATTGAGCCCAGGAGTTCAAGACCAGCCTGGGCAACATGGCAAATCCCTATCTCTATAAAATTTAAAAAATTATGGTAGCCTGAGCCTGTGGTCCCAGCTACTCGGGAAACTGAAGCAGGGGGATTGCTTGAAGTTGAGACTGCAGTGAGCCATGATCCCGCCACAGCACCCCAGCCTGGGTTGACAGAGCAAGACCCTGTCTCAAAAAAGAAAAATAAATCATATCATATCAAGTCTACTGAGATCCACTCAGTGTAACTATCATATGAATAGAAGATCCTTATAAGAACCGTTGAGGCTAAACTGCCTGGACCTTGTTGGGGGCTAAATTCCCTTTCATCAGGGCACAACCCGAGATGTCTTTGCTCAAAGCTATTTCTTCCTTCCCTGGCAGCATCCTACCCAGCTTCTAATCTAAGCTCAAACACACCCTCCTTCAGGAAGATTTGCTGTTCTACCTTCTCCCCACCAAGCAGAGTGAAGGGATTCTTCTTTGGAACTCCCACTCTCCTTTATTTATCTCCAGATGGATGAAAAAGGAAGAGGGTTTCTGTTTTGCTAAAAGCCCTCTGGTGAGCAAGTGGATGAAAGAGGAGAGAGTTTGCCTGGGGCGGGGGTGGAAGGGGTAGTTGTGGCAGGGGCATATCCTAGGTAGCTTGAGAGAGATAAAGAAGATGTAATTAGAGAAGAGGGGTGGTAGGTGATTTAACCTTCTCCTGTATCTGCCTTACAACATCTTTAGTGAAAGTAGACATTACAAACCACAGTGACATGTGGATAAAACTCACGATGTTGGGGGAGAAGAACAAATCATATGCTTCACAATAAAAACACATAATATCCTAGGAACAGAAGGGAACTTCCTCAACCAGATAAAGGGCATCTATGAAAAACCCAGAGCTAACATCACACTTAATCGTGAAAGACTGAAAGCTTTCCCCTTAAAATCAGAAATGAGAAAAGGATGTCTACTACTGCCACTGCTGTTCAACATTGTTCTGGAAAATTCTAGGCAGAACAAGTAGGCAAGAGAAAAGAAGAGGTATCCAGATCGGAAAGGAAGAAATAAAACTGTCTCTGTTTGACAGTTGTCACAATCTTGTACATAGAAGATTAGGAAGAAGCTACCAAAAATTACTTGAATGACTCAACAAGTTTAGTATGGTTGCAGGATACAAGATCAATATGCAAAAACCAGCTGTAGTTCTTCTATATGTTGACAAGAAGAAAATTTAGAATGAAATTAAGAAAAATCCATTTACAAGAGCATCAAAAAGAATAAAAAACAAGGCCAGGCATGGTGGCTCATGCCAGTAATCCCAGCACTATGGGAGGATGAGGAAGGAGGATCTCTTGAGCCCAGGAGTTTGAGACCACCTGGGCAATATGGCAAGAATCCATCTCTACCAAAAATTTAAAAAAATCAGCCAGGTGTAGTGGCCATGCCTGCAGTCCTAGTTACTCAGGAGGTTGAGGTGGGAGGACCACTTGAACTCAGGAGTTTGAGGCTGCAGTGAGCTATGATCTGGTCACTGTACTCCAGCCTGGGTGTCAGACAGATCCTGTCTCTAAATGAAAATAAATAAACAAGCAAATAAATTTAAAAAAATATTTCAAAAAAGAATGAAATAGTTAGGAATACATTTAACCAAAGAAGTCTGAGGCTTTTTACACTGCAAAACTATATAACATTGTTGAAAGAAACTAAAGAAGACCTAAATAAATGGAAAGACATCCCATGTTTATAGATGGAAAATTTAATATTAAGATAGCAGGCCGGGCGCGGTGGTTCACGCCTGTAATCCCAGCACTTTGGGAGGCCGAGACGGGTGGATCATGAGGTCAGGAGATCGAGACCATCCTGGCTCACACGGTGAAACCCCGTCTCTACTAAAAATACAAAAAATTAGCTGGGCGTGGTGGCAGGCGCCTGTAGTGCCAGCTATTCGGGAGGCTGAGGCAGCAGAATGGTGTGAACCTGGGAGGCGGAGCTTGCAGTGAGCCAAGATCCTGCCACTGCACTCCAGCCTGGGCGACAAAGCGAGACTCTGTCTCGAAAAAAAAAAATAGATAGCAAAACTTTTCAAATTGATCTACAGATTCAATGCCATCCATCCTTTCAAAATACTAGCTAACTTTTTTGCAGAAATTAACAAACCAGTCCTAAAATTCATATGGAAATTCAAGAGAATCAGAACAGTTAATCTTTAAAAAGAACAAAGTTGGAGGGCTCATACTTCCTGAGCACTAAAACTTAGTACAAAGCTATAGTAATCAGATAGTATGGAATTGACGTAAGGACAGACATATAGATCACTGTACTAGGCTTGACGGTCCAGAAATAGACCTTCATATTTTGGATCAATTGATTTTCTACAAGGGAGCCAACACAATTCAGTCTTAAAAATGGTGGTAGAACAACAAAGTAGCTACATTCAAAGAATGAAGTGAACCCCTTAACTCACGCGGTAAACAAAAACTAATTCAAAATGAGGCCGGCGCGGTGGCTCAGGCCTGTAATCCCGGCACTGTGGGAGGCTGAGGCGGGGGGATCACGAGGTCAGGAGATCGAGACCATCCTGGCTCACACGGTGAAACCCCGTCTCTACTAAAAATACAAAAAATTAGCCGGGGGTGGTGGCGGGCGCCTGTAGTCCCAGCTACTCGGGAGGCTGAGGCAGGAGAATGGCGTGAACCTGGGAGGCGGAGCTTGCAGTGAGCCGAGATAGCGCCACTGCACTCCAGCCTGGGCGACAGAGCGAGACTCCGTCTCAAAAAAAAAAAAAAAAAAAAAAAAATAGATTTAGCTCTTTTAAATAGATCCACAGTGGCTATATTCATAAAGTTAAAAATTGGAAATAGCCTTAATGTCCACCTATAGGATATTGGTTTAAAATGTGATAAGACTTGGCCGGGCGTGGTGGCTCACACCTGTAATCCCAGCACGTTGGGAGCCCAAGGCGGACGGATCACGAGGTCAGGAGATTGAGACCATCCTGGCTAACGCGGTGAAACCTCGTCTCTACTAAAAATACCAAAAAATTAGCCAGGCGTGGTGGCGGGAGCCTGTAGTCCCAGCTACTCGGGAGGCTGAGGCAGAATGGTGCGAGCCTGGGAGGCGAAGTTTGCAGTGAGCCGAGATGGGGCCACTGCACTCCAACCTGGGTGACAGAGCAAGACTCCATCTCAAAAAAACAAACAAACAAAAAAACTAATTCAAAATGGATCAAAGACCTAAATGCAAGCAGCATTAAAACTATAAAACTCTTGGAAGAAAACATATGAGGAAATCTTCATGACCTTGGATTACTCAATGGATTCCCAGATATGATACCCAAAGTATAAGCAACAAAAGAAAAAATAGAAATATTGGACTTTATTTTTTTAAGAGATGGGGTCTTATTATGTTGCCCAGGCTGGACTTGAAATCCTAGGCTAAAGTGATCCTCCTACCTCAGCCTCCTGAGTAGCTGGGACTGAAAACGTGTACCGCCATGCCCAGCTAAATTTCAAAACGGAAAACTTTTGCACTTCAAAGACATTAAAGTGAAGACAACCCGCAGAATGAGACAAAATTTTCACAAATTGTATATCTGATAAGAGACTTGTGCCTAGAATCTATAAAGAATGATTACCACTCAATAATGAAAAGACAAATAACCCAGTTAAAAATAGGCAAAGGATCTGAATAGACATTTCTCCAAAGAAGATAAACAAATGGCCGATAAACACATGAAAAGATGCTCAACGTCATCTGCCATCGGGGAAAAGCAAATCAAAACCATAATGAGACACCACTTCACACCCACTAGGGTGGCTATAATAAAAAAGACAGATCGTAATAACTGTTGGCAAGGATGTCGTGAAATTCGAACCATCATCACACATTGCTGGTGGGAATGTAAAGTAGCACAGAGCTTTGAAAAACTGTTTGGCAGTTTCTCAAAAACTTAGAGTTACCATATGACTCAGCAACTTCCCTCATAGGTATATAGAAGAGAAATGAAAACATATGTCCACACAAAAACTTGTACATGAATGTTCATAGTCGTATTATTCATAATAGCCAAGAGCGGAAACCACCCAAATGGTCAACTGATGAATGAATAAATAAAATGTGCTGTATACATACAATGAAACACTCTTTGTCAATAATGAAGACCTGATCCCTGCTGCAACATGGAGGAACCTAAAAGCATTATGGTAAGTGAAGGAAGTCAGATTCAAAGGTCCGTGATTCCATTATAAATGGCATTCCATCTGTGGAATTCCATATATGGAATGTCTAGAATAGGAACACTTCCTTTCTATAGAGACAGAAAGGAAATTAGGAGTTGCCAAGAGAGGATGGGGAGACTGGTGGGTGATGGCTAAGAAGGTGGCCGTGTTTCTTTTTGGGGTAATGAAAATGTTCTGAAATTGATTGTAGTGATGGAGGTACAACTCTGAATATACGGAAAGCCACTGACTTGTACATTTTAAATTGGTGACTTGTATGGTATACGAATTACATCTCAATAATGCTGGTTTTCTTTTCTTTCTTTCTTTATTTTAATAGACAGGGTCTTACTCTATTGCCCACGCCGGAGTGCAGTAGTGCAATCATAGCTCACTGCAACCTTGAACTCTTGGTCTCAAGCAATTCTCCCACCTCAGCCTCCCAAGTAGCTGAGACTATAGGCATTTGCCACCACGTCCAGCTAATTTTCTTTATTTTTTGTAGAGACGAGGTCTTGCTATGTTGCCCAGGCTGGTCTCGAACTCTTTGGCTCAAGTAATCCTCCTGCCTTGGCCTCCCAAATTGCTGGAATTAGAGGCATGAGCCATCACACCCAGCTAAAAAAGCTCTTAAAAAAAAAAAGTTGCATACGGATACATACAACATAGGATTTATATGAGAATATTGAAATATGCAAACAATACTATTATTTAGAACACATACAAGTGCAGCGAAGGCATAAAGACACGCATGTGGATTATAAAGGCACAATTTTAGGGCGGTAAATACAAGCCCAGGAGGGGATGGTTAGTTAGTTCATGGAGAGACACAGGCTGCTTCAACTATAATTGTAACATTTCTTTTTTTTTTTTTTTGAGACAGATTCTCACTCTGTTGCCCAGGTTGGAGTGCGGTGGTGAGATCTTGGCTCACTGCAACCTCTGCCTCCTAGTCAAATGATTCTGTGCCTCAGCCTCCTGAGTAGCCATGATTATAGGCGCATGCTACCACAACCAGCTAATTTTTGTATTTTTTTTTTCTTTTGAGACAAGTTTTGCTTGTTACCCAGGTTCGAGTGTAATGATGCAATCTCGGCTCGCTGCAACCTCCGCCTCCCGGCTTCAAGTATTTCTCCTACCTCAGCCTCCCAAGTAGCTGGGATTACAGGCATGCGCCACCACGCCCAGCTAATTTTTTGTATTTAGTAGAGACGAGGTTTCATCATGTTGGTTAGGCTGTTCTCGAACTCCTGACCTCAGGTGATCCACCTGCTTCAGCCTCCTAAAGTACTGGGATTACAGGCGTGAGCCACCACACCTGGCTAATTTTTGTATTTTTAGTAGAGATGAGGTTTCACCATGTTGGCCAGGCTGGTCTCCAACTCCTGATCTCAAGCGACCCACCCACCTCAGCCTCTCAAAGTGCTGGGATTACAGGTGTGAGCCACCACACCCAGCTGTAACATTTCATTCTTAAGCTTGGCAATGGAACATGATCATATCCCACATACCTTTTCTGTTTGCTTGAAATTCTTCGTGAAATAATTTCCCAGGCATTTTCCAATGCTGCAGAAACTGGACATGTGTATTTGATGGATCGGTTGGGGGACTGGCCTAGGGGGGCCCTGGACTGGAAGAGCTGGTCCTTTTCAGGTTCCACACATTCAATAAACATTTCCTGTATCGAATCCAGCAATCTCTGGGACCATCTCCAGATCATTCTTTCCCATAGTCGGTGTTCTGCAGGTAACAGTCCAGGCTTTGCAACCATCCAGACAGCTCTGATTTGAGTGCCCACTCTGCCCTCATTACCAGCATGGCCTCTCGCCAATTACTTAATGCCTCTGGGCTTTACTTTCCCATCTGCTAAATGGGAATCATACCACCTACTCCTTGAAACTAGTGATGATGGAAGGCAGAAGTCCTTGCAAGGTGCCTGGCTTCCCCTGCCCGCTGAGGATGAGGCTGTCACTCTCTGCTGAATCTTTCTGGGTGATGCAGGTTGTACTGGACCCTACATTCCTTCGCACGGTGTATGATCAGCCATCAATCAATACTCCCTGAGTAGAACTGACTTTAAGAGCCTCAACTTCCTTCCTCCCTTTCTTACTGCTTTGAAAAGTCAAGGGAACCAAAGGCTTCTGAAGAGAGCTCCCTTCGTTACTTTAAAAAACAAAGAAATATAGAAATAAGCTGGCTCTGTCATTCTCCGTGGATCATTTTTGTATTCCCAGCTGTTGTTCATCAGTTTCTGGAGGCTCACAGGGCAGCGCCAGCCTCCAGGGGCCAAGGAATGGGATGATGGTGTGTGAGGATCTGGATGTAGCCTTTCTCTCGCCAGTCATGCAGGCTCCTTCAGCCCTTCCTGGAGCACAGAGAGTTGGATGCCTTGGCCCAGGCCCTTGGCAGTGAGATTTAGTCCCTGCTGATTGCAGCCCGGCACCTGGGGGAGAACCGGGCCTCAGAAACTGAGCCTGAGATCCAGGTGGACAGGCAGGAGCTGGGTCTATGCTGACCAGGGTAGATGGAAATGCTGGCTGCCCAGAGGAGCTTCTGGAGAAAGCTGTCATGCAGGTAATTCCAGTGACTGAACAGAACCCAGGAAGTGCATCCTCTGAGTTTTAGGCCCGGAAGCTTCCTCCTCCAAATGTCAGTTGCAGCACAGAGCTCAGCACTTGGCCATTCCTTCACTCCCTCTGGGACTTGGCTGGTTTGTTTTGGGAGGGTTGCAGTCCCTGTGTCTGGCTCAGGTCTCAATGTCACCCAAAGTCTTTGTGGCCAATGGGAAAGGGAGCAGGGAGACAGAGCCCCATGGGGCCCCGTGGGCTGTGTCCTGGCCAGTGGGGGAGAGCCTGATCATGGTGCTCCTGAATGGCCCCAAAGGAGTTCAGAGCACAGGCCTTCTTTACGCCACTTCCACCCGACCCACAGTAACCCCACCGTGACTCCCTGGGGTTGCAACTTAGCCGAAAAGCGATACATCATTCTAGCTTCACCCGTGGACCTTTGGGATCCCTTGAGGCCCCATCTGTTCAGTGCCTGACCCTGATTAACCTGTGGTCCTTCTGGCCTAGGGCTTGGCATCATGGAACAGGATGGTCAGCTTTGGGAACCAAGGGAAAAGTGACAGTCCATTCTCTCCACCCCGGTTATTTGTCTGCGGTCCAGCTAGGCCATTCTCCCATCCACTGGATGAAGGTCCTACAGAAATCAAGGTCCGGGGCTGCCACCAAGCCTTCTGGCTTCTCCAAGGGGCAGCTGGGTCTCATGGCTTGCTGTCCACAGCCCCTGCCTGCCTCCCACCAATCCTCCATTCTGCTGCCAAAACCACCCAACCAACCCTCAAATGGAACTGTGTCACAAACCTGCATTACGGACCCTGCTGGGCTCTCCTCCACAGACTGGAGGCCCACAGATGGGCTTTTGCTCGTCCTGCATTGAGATTTTTAAAAATCTGGAAGTTGCCCAGCTTCCCTTGAAACACCAGTTGGCTGGTGCTAGTGCAAGGCCTCCTTAGGCAGGTACTTAGGGAGCAGTCCTCACCATTCCCTGTTGTCTCACATCCAGCCTCCTTCCCTCATGAAATGCAATGTCTGGTGCCTGCATACTTTTGAGTTTCCCCTGTCTAGTCTCCAGGCAAAGGCTATTGTAGCATGGCTGGGAGGGAAGGAACAAGGAAAGAAGTGTAGAGGAAGGAAGGAAGGAAGGAAGGAAGGAAGGAAGGAAGGGAGGGAGGGAGGGAGGGAGGGAGGGAGGGAGGGAAGGAAGGAAAGAAGGAAGGAAAGAAGGAAGGAAGGAAGGAAGGAAGGAAGGAAGGAAGGAAGGAAGGAAGGAAGGAAGGAAAGAAAGAAAGAAAGAAAGGAAGGAAGGGGGGCTCAAGCAATGGTCTTCCCTGCCCGGACCTCCATGCATGTTCTGCAGAGCAGGCTGGGAGACGTCTCTGTCGGGGAACCCGCCATTGCACTGCTGTGGCTCTGGGAGCTGCAAACTGCTTGGGGGCTGTTCTCTGATTTCCCAACCACGGCAGGGAAGAGCACTGTGAGTGTGCGGGGGTGGAGGGTGGAGAGAGACAAGAAAGCAGGAGCAGAGGGAAGTGGAAGGGGCAGAGGCGTGCTGCTTAGCAACCGCGGAAGAAAATTTAGAGAAGTGACAGGACCATTTCTCCCAGTGCCTGAAAGGGAGGATTAAAAAGAAAAAAACAAAAAACTCGTCACACGCCTACACTTGTTCATCTTGTTGTGGCGGCTCTTGGAGTGTTGGCTGGAATTCACAGGGCTCCTCTGCAAGGGAGGGCCATTGTGGAGGATGCCTGGCCAGCTACGTGTGATGTGGGAAAAGCTACAAAAAACTACGTCCTCAATAGCTCAAGGGGGACCATCTTTGTGGCCCCTCAAGGGGAGGGAGTGAAGCCTTGCGAGAAAGATGGAAGAACACAACTTCACCTGTCTTGCCTTTTCTCTCTCACTTCTTCCTCCTAAGTCTACCAACATCTAGAGAGAAAGGTGTCAGAGGACTTTCCTTTTCTCCATCTTTCCCCCGGAACCTCACAAACAGCCCCAACCCCATTCCTTCCTCCCCACCGAGAATTCTCCGTTGCTTTTCTTTCTTAATTTGATTTTCTCTGGCTCAGAATCGAGATCAAAAGAGGAAATTCTTTCCAGCCTTTTAGGAATAATTCCCAGAATCTCCCCCTGGAAATGCATACATAATTACCATAATTATTTCTAAAGAAATCTTCCGTGTTCTCTTACCCGCTGCTTTTCCATCTCTCCTGCAGGCTTGGGGAGGAGGGGAGAGGGAGGAAGCTTCCAGAGTGTCTTTGTGGTTGCTGGTTGACCAGTATAAACGGAATTTACACAGTTAGGGTGGCAGACTCACCAGTACGTGAGAGAACTGCCGATGATGATGCAGGCAACTAACATGAAATGTACCCCTCCAGCAATCAAGGCGGCAGAATCACCTAGTAGAAGTTATTCTCTTTCTACCTCGTTTCCAGTTGTTTTAATTTCATCGAGTCTCAAGTTGGTGCTGGCCTAGGTCATTAGCACCTCCTGGACACTAGCTAAACTTGCCTTTTTTTTTTCTTCAGACGGAGTCTTGCTCTGTCACCCAGGCTGGAGTGCAGTGGCATCATCTCGGCTCACTGCAACCTCCACGTCCTGGGTTCAAGCCGTTCTCCTGCCTCAGCCTCCCAAGTCGCTGGGGTTACAGGCACCCCCCACTTTGGCCAATTAATTTTTGTATTTTTAGTAGAGACAGGGTTTCACCATGTTGGCCAGGCTGGTCTTGAACTCCTGACCTCAGGTGATCTGCCCATCTC